CTCTGCAATTCCATGAACTGAGTATGAAGTGTATTTTTACTCCATTAAACTTAGGTTTAAAAAGGAAATAATTTTGAAGCAGAAAGCCAGAAATGGTCCATTTTAAAATTGTAAAAATAATTTTTTCCAAAACAATTTTCAAATAAAACTATCCTAAAATGGGGTCTCTACCTCCTCTGTGGAAAATCGCCTCCTTGGTGAACTGGTATTTTCCAGTTCAGAAAATATTAGCTTCAGTGAAGAGAAAAGCTCGTGCTTAACACAGTACAGAGTGGGGAGAAGTGAATAAAGAGGAAATGTGGTTAAAATGCTAAATGGGAAGTTGTTCCTTGCAGGACAAGTAGATTTAGGATAAGGCTAAAGAAGGGAGGACACATAGCTAGTATGAGGTGCTTAGAACAAAGAATTTGGCAGCTGAGAATGGCAGAAACAGATTTTAAAAATTGTATTTAATGGAGTCAGAAGCCCATTGCATGGGTCTAGAAGAATGAATCAGTGATAACACTCAAGCTAGTGGGGCTGTCTGCTTGGTGTTACTGTTGTGATAGAGAAAGGACAGGATTTGGGAGAAATGGGTAAGATTCACTGGGAATGATCAAGAGCACAGGTTAAGAAAAGGCAATAGATAGATAGATAGATAGATAGATAGATAGATAGATAGATAGATAGATAGATAGATAGTTGTGTGTGTATGTGAATGTCTGTGTTATTTACCAGGAAGAGAGGCCAAGGTGTGAGATTAGATGGGTGAGAATGATCATGAATAAAGCTCTGCATTTGTAATTTGTGTATAGGCAGATAATTACCAGACCAAATCCTGTATGGTTATCTTTGCAAGAAAAGCTAAATCTTGTTAGCCCAAAAGAATGGTCTCTAAAAATTATTTTCCCCTTCTTTCTGTTTTTGTGATATATAAGGAACTCTGCCCATGGATGCTGTAGCTTCATACGGCAGCATTGTTACACACTGAACAACCTGAAATTTTAGTATCTTACTTAAAAAGTTGAATAAATGGCATCAAACCATTCCCCGAGGTCTGTACAAGAGAGGCAGGTTATAGAGCATGTTGAAAAGAAAAATGTTACCCAGCAATTTAGTAATAATTCTGAGAAGGAGTTTCTGCTCATGAAAAAAAAAAAAGGTTGTGTGCCTGACCTTCCTGGACACTGACTGTCCCCAGCTTTCACCATGAAAGCATTTAAGATTGAGTCGCTATTTGAACCGACTAAAAGCAAACATGGAGCATGGACCCTTTGAAGTTCTGTGCATGCTTCTCAGTGCTGTGCCTGCCCTCAGCTGTGCGCATTCTTTCTGGAACAAGAACTGCTAGTGTCTAATTTGTGATGGGAAATGTGTTTTGGTGGGGAGATGTGACCCCTGAACTTAGCTTTGCTTTGACAAAAGCACTTTCGTCGTCTGCGTTCCATTATTGTATTGCATTCAGCACAAGCATCATCTGTGGTGTTCTGGAGTATAGCTTGTGCAGTGTTGAAAGGGGAACAGAGTTGCATGCTGGAAAAGTGGGCTGAAGTTTACTCTGAATTTGGACTCAAGTTCCCACTCAGACTTTAAGTGTCTGCACCCCTGCAGCTCTTCCTGATAACCCTAAGACTAGGATTACCAAACACGCAGGAAAGCAGGCATGGGTGGTAATGACCCCTGTAACTCTGTTCACATGGAAGACTGTGGGCTGAACAATTCCTGGACCTCACCAAAGTTTCAGCTGCAATGTGCCCTGCAGTTCCTGAGTGCAATCCTATGGTTTTTCCTCTTTTCCCATAAAGCAAGTGTAAACTGTCATGGTTATTTTCAGGCACTAGGGAAGAAAATTGCTTGAATCAGGCACCACATCCAGCTGAGCAGACTTCAGGAAAACCATTCAGTGGACTTCAAGAGAGATGAATCAAATGGCCCAGCTTTAAAAACCTTACCCGGAGCAGGTAAGTCACTGCTGGAACTCACATGTCAAAGCAGAGCATCCTTCCCCAGACCTGGGAGACACAGCCTGTTCCTCTTTAAATCTGTGCTGTGTGCTGCAGTGCTCTGCATTGTTGCCATGGCAGAAATCTCCCCATAGTAATAACCTCTTTCAGGGAAGGTTAAAAAGAGACAGTGCACATGCTCAGAAATGCTGCACTTGTTCTGTTAGCGGTTTGCAGCGGCCATTTCAAAGAGACCATCACAAAGACGAGAGATCAGGTACTGATATTTTTTTCCTTTGTTAGAGGGGGTGACTTTTCTCTTTCACAGAAGTCCATGCACAGATCTGTCTCGGTTCCCAGTTGCACTGCAGAGAGAGACGATCCATGAAGCCTGTTGTGGTTATTCCTCACAAATAGCAAATTCCCACAGAATAACTAAGAGGCGGTGGTTAGGTGTGGCCTGAGGTGACTGCTGCACTTGGGGAGCAATTATTTTGCAGTGGGGCTCACGTACAAAACTGAGCTGATGCTGGGGTGGGTGATGTGTAAGGTACTCTGAAAAAGTTTAACAGCGTATCTGCTTTGTTCTGTTGAACCTTTGTATCACTCGTAGTCAACTATGAGAATAGCCTCTGCTCGTACTGACCAGGAGGCTTCTGTGTTAGGTACTTTCAAAGGAGGCTGGTATTATCCTAATTTACTGTTACTTGGAGACGCTGCTGCATACTGTTGCAAAGCCTGGTGTCTTTGATTGTACTTGCTTTGATTGCAGATCACCATTAATTAAAACAGAAAACCCATGCCACTTGTTATCATTTTAATCCCTTTATTTTAAGGATTGTAGAAATAAGAAAAAGGATCACATCAGATCACTTCTAAATAGTGGGAGGGATATGAAGCCCAGTTCTGGAGTTATAGGAATTACATTACCAGATCTATTTTGGTATGGGCCCAAATAGATCTGTGACTCTACATGTATATATGTGTCTCTTGCTTCTGAACCATCCCCTACGCCTGTTTAGGTTGAGGTGCACAGGAAGGGGATGTGTATAATGCTGCTCCTTTCCTGGATGAATTGCTGGTTTGCATGTGCTGCAAGTGTTTGTGCCGAGTTTGCAGCTTCAAATTAGCTGTGTCTGAAATGGTAGAGTGCATATATCGAAGAGCAAGCTTGTTCCATTCTGTGTTTGTGGCAAGAAGGGAAGAAACCTTCCCTTTCCTGCCTCTTTCTATTGCCCTTCCAAATGTGAAATATGAACTGGTTTGGGGAGTGCTGCACTCTTGCATTCAGCACATGCAGATTTGATGTTCTTGTGCAACATCTTTAGTTTAGTATCACTGACTTAAAAATCAGGAAAGGACAGAATGCTTTCCTGGGTTCAGCTAAAGAGAATTTTCATGTGGATTTTATTGTGTTGCTACAACTATTTGATTCTTTCTTCATTTGAACATACAGGAACAGAGGTAAAGTTGGCTGAACTAAGGACCACCCTAGCAGTTTGCCAAGATCCTTGAAGCTTGGATAGAAATCTGTAATAGGAAGTTGCGGCTTGAGCCAGTCCAAGTTTCCCATGTTTCCTCTTGATCTGAACAGTTTACCTGTTGGATCAAGAAAATACTTCATTTGAAATCTGTGTACTTATCAAAAGTTTTACCTCTGTGTGAAAGGGAGGTGTTGCTGGACCGGACGGTACCTGTCTTCAGGGCATGGTGTGACCTGGCTGTGATGTTCAGGAACAAATGGATGGCTGCAAATACAGGTCTGAAGCCCAGATTAGGAGGAGAAGCAGAAGGTCAAAGAGTTCTGATGCATTTACTGTCTAGAAATTCTACCTATGAATTTGTGGAGGTTTAACAAAAGTCTTTTCCTTCAGCTACTTTCATGAAGGAGTAAGTTTTTTATGATCATTGTGGTGCGTAGTTAATTATAATGGTTAGCTTTAGTTATTATACTTGTGAAAAGATGGTGCATCAGTAAAGCAAGCGAGTGCATAAAAACTTCTTTTCCAGGTTCAGGTCTGTTTCAGCCAGCTCTATAATCCCTGCAGTTTTGATCTCAAAGTCTAACATAACAGTGAACCAGCTGTCCAGATTCACGTGCTAGTCTGGGATTGTGTAGTTAGAAAAAAGATTGGAGTCACAGAGAAGGCAAATTTGCTAGTGTCCTGGCTTTCAAATGAAACTAAAAACTCTCTAGGGACTTCTGATCTTCTCCTTCCTGTCTAGGGACATTCTCTTCCAGTTGGGTTTTATGTGCGCTGCTGGAATAGTACAGAGAACTTCTGTCCATGCTCTAGATGTTCTGATTTATATTTTTTTTCTTTTAAAGGAAGACTGCCAATGCTTTAGCTGTCAGGAACATTAAGTTCTTTGTAACAAAACCTTGTATCTGTAATGTTCCTCACTGACTTGTTTGTGTCTCTTGATAAACAGGGAAGCACCCATTCCCAAGATGCTGGCACCCTGCCTTCTGAGAAGAGTGGTCCTTACAGTTCCTTTAGTTTTTGTGGTTGCACTGCTTCTCATGGAGTCTGTTCGATCTGATCAAGATGCAGGAACAGCCATACCAGCGGAAAGTATGTACTACCCTATAGTCCTCTCATGTAGCTCGTACTGTAGTTTTAATGCTGCAGGACTTCATATCACTGAAGCTTGTCCAAGTAATTCAAGCTATTTTGGACATGTCTTGCTTATGTTTTAAAATCACAACTTGATAGCATACTAGTGCTGTTTTCCTCCTGTGTCCAAGGTGCTCCGCTCTTTTACCTTTATCTCCTTCCTGTTGTTGTCTTGCTTGTACCTGAAATCTGCCACTGTTCTGTACCTTTTCTTTTCTACAGCCCTTTCCTTGTGTTAGCCCTTTCTACGCCAGGAGTCACCCTTTTTGCTTTTCAGAGACATTCTTGAGACTTGCTTTTTTCAATTGACATTGACTGTTCATTAGATCTTTCATTCTTGCTAATATCTACTACATTAAAGTCAGTAGTTTTTATTTTAAAAATTCACAGTGAAGATGCCAAGAAAGCACACTTTGTCAACACTTAGTCTTGCAGCCTTCAACCACCTAATTCGCCTTTGCTGTTTTGTGTTGTGTTTAATTTACATCATAAATGTAATGGCAGGTCCTCACATAAAGTTGTTGATGTGGAAAATGCTGTCCTCTCCTTATGTCTGGTGCATATATAATAACGCTAAGCTTGGGCGCTGGTACAATGAAAGAGGAGGTCTGTAATACTGTTCAGTGTTTGTTTTTTAGCTCCCACACCTCCCTCCCCCTAGCCAGTTAAAGATTTGGCAGACTCCTTTTCTGCAGCAGGCAGGATTCCTGTCTGCTTGTTAGCACACAGATCATGAGCTGGAAGCTCATACTCCAGCTTATCGGAGGCATGTAGTAATCAGTCAAATATGAAATGTTTGCAAAATAGGCTGACAAGACACTGCAGGATTTTCCAACATTACTCTAGGTTTCATCCTTTCTTCCTTACCAGAGCTCAAAGAGCAAACTAAACCTGTGCTCAGAATTTCTTACTTGTGCAATATTTCCTATGAAGGTGTCACAGAGGCACAGGCACCGAGAAGCAAATATAAGCATATGTAGAGCCTGATGATTCGAAAACATTTCCTCATGTCTATATTTGTTCTGTCTCAGTACTGCTATCTGTTAGGGCGCAGCAGTGTTACATGATGATCAAGGCAAAGCAAGCCTTGTGACCTTCAGTCTGGATATCTAGATGTGGGAATACTATCTTAAACACTGCAATTAGTCCACAATGCAGCTGTTCTGCTTATCAGCAATGCCCACTAATGACAGGGCATTGTGTTTATCTGCTGCTTGCTTCACCAGCTTTGGACAAAGCTGTATCATATTCAAAGTTAGAAGCGAAGTGATCTGTCTTTGTGATAATGTAGTCCATTTTATTCCATTAGCTTTCTATTTAGAGCTCAAGTTTGTGAGATTAGGGGACAAGATTTTTCCAGGGAACAGGTTCATGGTTTCAGAGGTAATTTCTGAAGAATCTGAAGATGAGGTTGAAAATGTGCTCAGGCTTGGTGGAACAAAATGAAAGGCTCAAGTTATGGGTTTAGTGTTTCCACACTATGAACTGTGACAAGAGAAGGATGAGGGGAACAGCAATAAAGGAGGAAGGAAAATTTTCATGCAAATTTGTTGAAGTAATTCTTTTGCCATTGAGAGACTGGGTGGACTGTCATGATGGACCATTTACAATAACTTGGGTCGTTCAAGAGTGCATACATCAGTACTTACTCTGTGAATTCTTTTCTGCAGCTCTTCCTCATATTCACAATCACTGTTTATTCCTTTTACTTAATACTTCACGCCATATAGTCACGGTTCTCTACTAAATGCTCTCCTAGGTCGTCCCTGTGTTGACTGCCATGCATTTGAGTTCATGCAGAGGGCTCTGCAGGATTTAAAGAAGACAGCCTATAATCTAGACACGCGGGTAAGGAAACATTCCATTTCTTCTTTTTTTTAATATGGAAGAAAATGCTGTGGATAAAAGTAGATAAGGTGGATGGATTTTGCACAAGACTTTCAGTCAACTGTACTGCCCTATCTTCTAAGGTGAGGCTGGGTAATTACATTTCACCTCTCTATGCAATAATCTGTGAAATTCTTCTGCCTTGGGGTATCAGGGATGCTAGGAAACTTAGGAAAGAGTAAACTGACAGTCCTCAGCCCTCTACCCTTCTCTTGTCGAGTTACAGCCATTAGCGCTGCTATTCTCATTCCAAATGCTTAGCACACACCTTTGTTTTTATGTCAGGGTTAGTAAGGTGAGACCATCATTTATATATATTAACCACAAGGAGAGAGCCAGCTGAAACAAAAAGCCTACTAAAATAAAATACTCCCCTGCACATGCTTTTACCCCTGGGGAGAGGCTAAGGGAGGAAACATCATCTCGTAGATACTTTTTGCATTGCTTTGATTCCACAATGATGAAAAATGCCACAAAGTAGAACAGTGTAGGGATTGGCTTGCAGTCAGTGTGGAGAATTTGCCAAGGTTGGTATCTTCCTTCTGTGAGGGAAGTTGAATCTGTCTTTTGCTACTGCAACCTGCAATCTGTGATTAGCTGTGTCCCAGCTGCTGTCAGATAGCAGTGTCTCAGGAGGGTAGCTTTTTCCCCGCCTCTTGTGTAGCCTTTAACTAAAGTGCTATATCTACACTCTTGCACAGATTTTTCAACAGAAGGCACTCAAACATTTTTGCTATTCTAATCTATGGTCAAGGTTGTTCACAGTTCAAAGCCTGTGAACTGGCATCTTTGAAGAATAGTTTGAGGTAACTCCAAGTAGGGTCCATGATGTTGAGGTGAAAATGCAGGTGCAGGAATGAAGATGCCTTGAATTACGGCATACTATAAAAACTAAACAAACATTCCGGCAGAACCAGATTGGTATGTAGCACATTTACAGTTAAACAAAATCTGTTCAATAGTTAGGGGTCAAATGTATTTTGGGCTCCTTCATGAAGAAATCTCGTTAATTAATATATCTGCTGAGCACTCTATACAGCCCAAACAAGATGTTCAGATTGTGCTGTAAAGTAGTTCTAGCACACCTTTTCCTTCCTTTACAAATATTTGAACCTTTTGCCAGAATTTCTAAATCTTGATTAAAAAATGTCTCAACTACTAAAATCTTCTCTGCTTGTCTGGCTATGACAGTGACCTTTATGACATCTACAGTTTGCAGACCAAGAGAGAAGCTTTATAAAATACAGATATCCAAAGCAGGAGTTGCAATAAGAGCCCCAAAGATAACAACTGTATTTTAATACTTTCTAAAAAATAACAGACAGCCAAGGAGAGGAAATGAGGATACAAAAAAGGTTTGATTAAGAGGAATGTCCTATTATTGACTTTCACAGTTGTAGATTTGACAGCAAGCCTGAAAATGTGGCTCCATGACATATTCTCACTAAAACAAACCTATCGCTTTCTTATCACTTTAAAATCTAACTAATTTAATCCATATTGAGATCCTTCAGTGCCTCTGGACTATGACAGGCCTATTCCAGTCATTAAGCTAGGAATTCTGCCTACATCCTCAAAAGACGTGGAAATACTTAATAGTTGAGGACTTCTTGGAACTGCCTTCAACAGTGTTTCAATTCTTAGTTTTATTATTCAGCTGTGGCCTAATTTGATGCAAACTGGGAGTTTTAAGACAATTGCTTTCACCTACATATATATTTTACATTTGACTATTTTAGTCTGTTTTGCTGCTTGGTGGGGCAAGTGTTTCTGTCCCTGAAAATGCAATTCCCTTTGTTGATATTCCCACTGGAGACACTAATTTCCTTGAAAAACTCCCTTTTGTTTGCAGGCTAGATTTTTAGATGATGACTAAGCAGCTCCCAACACTGTTGGAGGGGGAGGGATTCCCAAAAGCTTAGAGAGGAAATTCCCATTTGATTCCTCCTGCAAATCTCACCCTGCAGTTTTTTACAGGGGAAACCATATAGTTTTATCGCACAACTCAAGAGTTTTCACACTCAATTTGGCCCTGTGTTGATCTGCATGGTGTCTCACAAAGCAAACTGACCCTGGCATAGGTCATGTAACCTTTTATGGGGGCCATAGGCTGTATCTGCTTCCTTTTACGAGACTAGACATGCGTGTAACCTACACTGCTGATCACTTACTGATTGACAGGCTGGCTACCTTTTACTCATGCAGTAAGGGAAGGGTCACAGACCATCTCTGAGAGGCTGGATACTACCCATGCACATACTAGATCTGTTTGCCCCTCTGCATACTGTTTTCTACCCTTTCACTGCTGCTGGCCCCTTGGAGCACCTGCAGGTTGGATTAGTTGTTTTAACAGCAGTAACCAGCTCTGGGCAATCTTTTCTGGGGATATCTGTGATTCACCACTCAGCTGAAGTGCAGTATGTGGCAGGTGCAGCTCTGATCACGAACTAGGGAGAGGGCTCTGAGGGAGCTGCTGCCATCAAAACCATTCAGGCAGCTCACAGCCAGCTCCCTACTGCATCTAAAAGCTGCTCAAGACAGAGGCCAGCAGGGAACAGGCCATAAAACAAATCCTGTAAAACAAATCCAGTCTGCGCGCTACACAGTTCACTGTAAGTCTGCACTATAGACACTTAGTTTCAAATTTCCATCACGTTTTTCAGAGTTAACCAGTGGACATTGCATCACAACTTTAAAGAGCTCAGGAACTACATTTTTAGCTGGAACTTATCGGCTTTTTTGTAGGTTCAGAATTTGGACTCTGCCCTGTTTGTTTGTTTTTTCTTATTTTTTTAAGCTTTTTTTTTTTTAACACAAATGGGGATAATAACAAATCTCTGTGCAAATGTTTTTGTGATCATCCTCACAAAACAGTCAGCAAAGCTGCATTAGTGCCATTCATTTTGTTCTTTATTCCTTTCTAAACTGTCAGTGGTTATTTGGAATGTTCAGAACACATTGTTAGATGTGACCATGAAAGTAATAACAAAGTCTTGAAAATGTTATTAAAGATATATAAGATGGTAAGCAGCCTTGGGGCTTAGCTCCAAAGCTGTTGGCATGCTGTCAACCTCCCTTATTCAAAACATTGCAGATAATGTCAAGGAGACAGTTAGAAGGTGGTGATTGAGTATCTTTTAGGTGATTAGCAAAGTCTGATCAGATCTTTCCAGTTTTGCATGGTAGCTGAAACAAATAAAAGCGATACCTGATTTAATATAGAACTACAGGGCTGTGTCTAGTGATTTATCATCTGGGAAAAAAACCTGACCAATAAATAGCTTTTCCTGTGCTAAAAAGGCAGGTGGTAAGTAGGATTCTTCAGCCCAGCTCTGCTCTAAATGCCTTTAGCTGATGTGGGTCAATGTCTAACACAACTTTTAAAACATAGCCTTTAATCACATGGCAAATCCATCTCATACGAAAATCACAAGACAGGCAGATTAAGGGAGGATTTCACTGGCATTTAGAGCTGGTAGTCTTCATAATGCCTTTTTTTTGTGTAGCTGGTTACACCAATGGGGATTAATTTGGTGAGTGGGTTTCCTACAGCTAATGTGTCCCATGACAAAAAGGAGGAAGTCCTCTCTTGGATCAGACTGATTCTCAGATATAGGTTCAGCTCATGATAGACAAACTGAGATGAAGCTATGATGTTGATGTCAAACAGCTCTGTGCTCCATCAGGCATCTACTGAAGCCACAAGTGCTCCAAACAGCCAGGAAAACCACAGTGTGTGTGTGCTAGAGACAAAGGATTCCCAAATTTCCTTTATGCAGCCCTGCTGTTCCTTCCCTGCTCTGCAGCCCTTTCTTGCACAGGTAGGCTGAGTGGGTGCAGGCCTTTCTGATCATACCCAGGTCCAGCTCTGGGAAGTTCCCAAACTGCCCTCGTTGCTCCAGAAAACCCCTGTGGGCAGCAATGATCTCCTGATATTGATGAATGCCAGTTCAGCTGGGACATCTCTACTTTTACCAGTTTGGGACCTCTTTCCTTAAAGAAGACAGCAATCTCATCACATGTTTGAACTGTGATGGCTGTATGCCAGCTCAGCACCTATCGTCTATTTTAGGCTCCAACAGCATATTAACAATAAAAACGGTGAAGCAGGAGAAGTTAAAACAGAAGTAAATGTCTTCACTGAGAGGGCGGTCGGTCACTGGAACAGGCTCCCCAGGGAAGTGGTTGTGGCACCAAGCCGGTCTGAGTTCAAGGAGCGTCTGGACAATGCTTTTAGTCATATGGTTTAGTTTTAGGTAGTCCTGTGAAGAGCAGGGAGTTGGACTTGATGATCCTTATGGGTCCCTTCCAACTTGACATATTCTGTGATTAAGTTATGCTTTATTTTCTCTGTATAACTTTCAAAAGTGAGTCCAGGCTGTAATACTCTAAAATTCAATTTTCTGAGTCTGTTTTTAAGTAAAAGAAAAATTTCTGACAGGTTTCTGGGGTTGTTTTCAGCCTGTCATGAACGTGAGAGCTTCTGTTCCAGTTTGTGCAGTTGAAGTAAGACTGTAAGAAAGGCAAATTTTAAACAAAAATAACAGCACCCAGACACATACTGAATGTGCTAATGTGAAAAACATGAACGTGTACCAGACTGAATTTCTCCATGTCACAGGAAGTATTGCCATGTTGGTATGCCAATTAATCTCACAAAAGCTAAATTATTTTGCAGAGCAGTAAGAAATAACTCACTCTGATTTTTACCTCAAGCCTCATCTCATACAACCAATTCCAAATCTTAGAACACAAGTAAAATGGACTTTTCTTTGGGAGCGGATTAGTTTTACGGTGCTGACACTTGTGTTTTGATGTTGCTTTTGTTCCCTCCTCTTATAGACAGAAACTCTGCTTCTTCAGGTGGAAAAAAGAAATCTGTGCGACTGTGTAACTGCAAATCTGCTGAACTGAATCCTGGAGGCCAGCTAAAGAGTATCACCTGTTCAGCGGTTTTTAACAGGCAGCTGTATAAAACACAGCTTTATGGAGTTCATGTTGCAAGCATGTATGCCCCAATGTACTGAGGAAATTGAGGGGCTCTGTCTTATGTATTTGTCTGTTCTGTTCTTTTTTAAAAGAGTATCCTCTTTTCACATCCACTGGATTGCCGGTAAGGGCTCAATTCAGTAAATCTGTTACTTGGTATTAGAGTGGGGGGAAAAATGTACCTGCTTTGATTTTTAAATCAGAGTTGGCCAAGTGTAACTCACAAGATGGCCAGCAATGCTTTAGAGACACTTCTAGCTGTTTTTTGTCTCTAATATGAACATATCTCTGTGACAACTTACCCAGTTACGTTGAGACAGGGAATTGTGGTCTCATAGGCTTTGCCTATGTATTAAAGATGATGGAAGTCCTTTCTGGTTGTTGTCTGCACTGTGACCACATTCAGGCATGTTGTAGTTCTGTCAGCTGTAAATGAGGTATGTGTCATGAGGAGGTATATGTGTGCTGTACTTGGACCAAAACAGTTTATATCTTAGTGCTGAGTTTTCTGGTATCCTGCATAAGAGTATTGTCTTATTTAATTAAAACCTTTAGTTTCTTCCCCTCCTTCCCTGGCCACTCCATTCTTAACCCACTGTATCTTTAAATAGCTTTAGCTTAGCAGGTCAAATGGATAGAGTAGAAAAAGGAGAATAAGGGTATGACTAGGCAACCCTGCCAGTTCCAGCTGTACCAAATGCTACCACCAGAAACTGCTCAACATGACATTGAAGGAAAGCTCCATGCAGTGCCAAGGGGTTTCATCATGAGAGTGCTCCATATTTTACTTTAGGTGAAACACAGTGGTTAGGTCATGCATATTTGGCCCATTCTGTGATAGACTGAACTCTGAATGTTTTGGCCTTTCCTTTTAGTTGCCTTTGAAAGCTGCTTTTTTTGTTTCGGGCATGAAGACAGACTTGTGTACCTGAAAGCTGAGATGAATTTTATTCTCAACTCTACCACTTTATTCTAAGATACTGCATCCACTTACAAGTCTGAATTGGGCTGAGCAGTCTGAGTAGCTGCTCCGAGTCTGTTTGTCATCATTTAGACCTGTCTCAAACCACTCCAACAGTGGGGCTGTACAGAGTGTATGGGAGGTGGACATCTGAAGGCCAAAATGTCTGCAGCTGAATTTGGAAGAAAGTGCCTGCCTGCAGCCTTACTTCTCTAACTAAGCTGGTAGGACTTTGCTGGAAGTTGACAAGAGAGGAAACACAACTACTGCTCTGCCAGCTCTGTATGGTAACAGACAGCCTCATTGAGTTGCCAAACCGGTCCAGGGCTTGGAAAACCAATTCCTGCACAGTGAGAAGTACAGCATGCCCTTCTGCATGGGACCAGGATGTAGGCCAGCACAGCAGCTCAGTGTGAACTGGAGAGGAGTTTCTGATGTTATTTTTCCAAATTGCCTCAGGGACCACCTGTGCTGTGTGTTTTTCACTAAACCTGTTCACACAGCTTGCGAGCACTGGCAGTTCTCATATATGGCTGCTGGGCAAAACAAGGATAACTGCAAGCCTCCCCTGCGGCTCTGCTCCCAGAGAGTGGGAAGGGGCATCAGTCCTTACTCATGCATGGCAGAGCTTTTTCTGGACTTTTTGGAGCAAAGCCTCCTTTGGAGGGCTTCAGCTGATCCTGGTTGTAGCAGAATGGCTTCTCAGAGCTTCTTGGCTTTTGCTGCACGTGGGTCATTCCCATCTTCTTCTAGCTTGGCTTTTTTCCTCTGCTTTGCTCTGGACCTACCTTGGTTCTCCTCTCCAGTGCAACCTCCATTCCCCCTTCCAGTTTGGTGTTGGGTTTCTTGGTGGACACCTGGCCCTCCGTCCTGATGTCACTGCAAGTGTGGGCAGTGGGGCTGATACTCCTCAGGTCAGTAGTTCCTTTAGATCCAACTGGCAGCACTGCAGGAGCAATGAGTGGCACTCCAATTTACCATGGAGTGAGTGAACATGGTGCAGAGCAACACTGGTATTTCATTCCCTGTCCAGGGGAGACATTGTGGGGAAGGGCCTCTTTCTACCCAGGCAGCCAACATTCCCATTGCAAAATTTGGAGGAAGTCGAAGAGCAGTTCAGCTGGTGAAAACTCTGCTCCCAAAGCTGAGTTAATCCATGGACAGTCCACCAGGATGCTGTCATCTCACCAGCTTGTTATAGGTGTGGACAGGCACCCAGCCATGGTTGGGTGCTGGTTTTGCCAGGTATTGAGTAATAAGATGTTCTGACACAACTGGAAACACTTGTAGATCTTGATTTTTTCCCTTGGTGTCTGCACAGACACTAGCTTGAACAAAAGAAAATCTGACCATGTGGAAATACTTTCCTTCAGTCATTTTGCTACACCTCTACCTTCTGATTCACATCACCAGAGCTGGGGTAGTGAAACACAGGACGTAATAGCTGTTGCCCCAAGGGAAAGCAGCCAGGAGTGGGGTAGATGGGGAAAGAGGAATAACTTTCTCATACTCTTCCTGAGAATCTGAAAAATTAAAGATTCCTTTCAGTCTGCAGAAGATCCATTAGAACCAGGTATTTCCTAGTGGAAATTACTGTATGATCCTTTAAAGCCCACCTTACCTATTTTCCTTTAGGTGACTGTTCTGTATTACCTCTTGTTCAAAACCACCAAAATAGCAGGAGAGCAGAAGACAGCTAATATGCCACCAGTTCTAAACCAGGATTGGCAGGGAGGTCTGGGAATTGCACCCAGCAACCAGAATGTCTGTTCTGGGCAAGTGAACAGAAACTTTTGAAGGATTTGAATATGTAAACTCAAGTTTAATATGATACAGTGTCAAGAGTCAAGACCATTTTTATAGAGCAAGAGAATACATCAGAACCAAATAGCTGCTGACAAAAGCAGCTAGGATAATCTGCAGTGATGTGCAGACTAAAAGTCTTCAGTCTAGACAAGAGATGACTGAAGAAGGAGATGATAGAAGTTTATAAAACCACGAGTGACCGGAGAATGACTGTTTGCTGTTCCTTCCCTTCTTCTAAAAAAAGAAGTAGGGTGCACTGAATGAAACCAGCTGGAGGCAGGGTCAGGGCATACAGAAGGATGATACTCTTGACCTACTGCATGTTTCAGTTGTGGAAGTCCTCATTGCAGGATGTTGCTGATGCTAAAAATTTACATGGGTTTAAAAAACAGCTGTCCAGACTCATGCCTGAAAATCCTATTGCAAGCTGTTAAATATAAAAACACCACTGTTTATTCAGGAGGTCACTGAACCACAAGTTGCAGGTTAACGGCGTTGTAGGAAGACATTGTAGTTGACCTGGTTTTGTACTTTTCCCTA